GGAAGAAGGGCTGCATGCGGGACAGCACCCCCACTTAACTGGCCTCCTCAACCCAAGCAACCCACACACGCATGCATGCAAGCACTCCCGCTTTACTCGTCCCCTCGCCCCGTGCATCACACAAACACATGCAAGCCCTAGGTCCGGTCGTTTTCTGAGAGTGCTTCTTACGTCCTACTCAGCACCAGTACTGGACTTATATATCTACATGCGCTACCATATTCCGAGGCTCCTGCGGCGGTTCTGTGGGGACTTCATCTTCCGACAATCACAGTGCGCTCCTACTCGCGGCCAGTTTTCTTAACACATGCAAGCAACCATGCTTCCCAAGCTCCCTCGCCCCATGCAACCCACACACGCACACACATGCACATGCACATGCACGCAAATCCGCTTTACACACCCCCTCGGCCCATGCAATCCATGCACGCATGCCCGCACCCCCAGTTTACTTGCCCCGCCCCTCGCCCCATGCAACCAACGCACACATGCAAGCACTTCCGCTTTACGCGCCGCCTTACCCCATGCAACCAACACACTCACGCATGCACGCACCCTCGCTTTACTCGCCCCCTCGCCCCATGCAACACACGCACGGGCAATCGCAGTACGCTCCGCCTCGCGGCCAGTTATCTCGACACACGCAAGCAACCATGCTTCACAAGCCCTCTCGCCCCATGCAACCCACACACGCATGCATGCAAGCACTCCCGCTCTACACGCCCCGTCACCCCGTGCAACACACATATGCACGCATGCACGCACCCCGCTTTACTCGCACCCTTGGCCCATGCAACCCACTCACGCATGCACGCACCCCCACTTTATGTGCCCGTCCGCCCAATGCAATCCACACTCACACGCATGCAAGCACCATAGCTTTACGCGCCCCCTCACTCCACGCAACCCACGCCCGCAGGCATGCATGCATTCCCGCTCACTCGCCCCCTCGCCCCATGCAACCCATACACGCACCCCCGCTTTACTCGCCCCCTAGCGCAATGTAACCCACGCGTGCACGCATGCACGCACCCCTGCTTTACTCGCCCCCTTGCCCCGTGCAACCCGCGCAGCACGCATGCACACACCCCCGCTTTACTCGCCCCCTCGCCCAATGCAACCCACATATGAACGCATGCAAGCATCTCCGCCCCCTCAACCCATGCAACCCACACTCGCACGTACGCATGCAAGCACCCGTAGTTTTACGCGCCCTCTCCCCCATGCAACCCACGCCAGCAGACATGTATGCATTCCCGGATTACTCGCACCCTTGGCCCATGCAACCCACGCACGCATGCACGCACCCCCACATTACGCGCCCTCCTGCCCAACGCAATCCACACTCGCACGCATGGAAGCACCATAGCTGTACGCGCCCCCTCACTCCACGCAACCCACGCCCGCAGACATGCATGCATTCCCGCTCACTCGCCCCCTCGCCCCATGCAACCCATACACGCACCCCCGCTTTACTCGCCCCCTAGCGCAATGTAACCCACGCGTGCACGCATGCACGCACCCCTGCTTTACTCGCCCCCTTGCCCCGTGCAACCCGCGCAGCACGCATGCACACACCCCCGCTTTACTCGCCCCCTCGCCCAATGCAACCCACATATGAACGCATGCAAGCATCTCCGCCCCCTCGCCATATGCAACCCACACTCGCACGCATGCAAGCACCCGTAGCTTTACGCGCCCTCTCCCCCATGCAACCCACGCCAGCAGACATGCATGCATTCCCGCTCTACTCGCGCCCTTGGCCCATGAAACCCACGCACGCATGCACGCACCCCCACACTACGCGCCCTCCTGCCCAACGTAATCCACACTCGCACGCATGCAAGCACCCGTAGCTTTACGCGCCCCCTCACCCCATGCAACCCACGCCACCAGCCATGTAATCATTTCCGCTTAATCGCACCTTTGGCCCATGCAACCCACGCACGCATGCACACACCCCCACATTACTTGCCCTCCTGCCCAACGCAATCCACACTCGGGCGCATGCAAGCACCGTAGCTTCACGCGCCCCCTCGCCACATGCAACCCATACACGCACCCCCGTTTTACTCGCCCCCTTGCCCCATGCAACCCGTGCACGCACGCATGCACCCCCTCTAATACTCGCTCCCTCGCCCCATGCAACCCACAAATGAACGCATGCAAGCATCTCCGCTTTACTCGCGCCCTCACCCCATGCAAACCACACTCGCACAGATGCAAGCACCCGTAGCTTTACGCGCCCTCTCCCCCATGCAACCCACGCCAGCAGACATGCATGCATTCCCGGATTACTCGCACCCTTGGCCCATGCAACCCACGCACGCATGCACGCACCCCCACATTACGCGCCCTCCTGCCCAACGCAATCCACACTCACACGCATGGAAGCACCGTAGCTTCACGTGTCCCCTCACTCCATGCAACCCACGACAGCGGACATGCATGCGTTTCCGTTGACTCGCCCCCTCGCCCCATGCAACTCATACACGCACCCCCGCTTTACTCGCCCCCTAGCGCAATGTAACCCACGCGTGCACGCATGCACGCACCCCTGCTTTACTCGCCCCCTTGCCCCGTGCAACCCGCGCAGCACGCATGCACACACCCCCGCTTTACTCGCCCCCTCGCCCAATGCAACCCACATATGAACGCATGCAAGCATCTCCGCCCCCTCGCCACATGCAACCCACACTCGCATGTACGCATGCAAGCACCCGTAGCTTTACGCGCCCTCTCCCCCATGCAACCCACGCCAGCAGACATGCATGCATTCCCGCTCTACTCGCGCCCTTGGCCCATGCAACCCACGCACGCATGCACGCACCGCCACACTACGCGCCCTCCTGCCCAACGTAATCCACACTCGAACGCATGGAAGCACCATAGCTTTACGCGCCCCCTCACTCCACGCAACCCACGCCCGCAGACATGCATGCATTCCCGCTCACTCGCCCCCTCGCCCCATGCAACTCATACACGCACCCCCGCTTTACTCGCCCCCTTGCCTCATGCAACCCGTGCACGCACGCATGCACCCCCTCTAATACTAGCCCCCTCGCCCCATGCAACTCACACAGGCACGCATTTAAGCACATCTGCTTTACTTGCCCCCTCGCTCACCCCATGCAACCCACACTCGCACGCATGCAAGCACCCGTAGCTTTACGCGCTCCCTCGCCCCATGCAACCCACGCCCGCAGACATGCATGCATTCCCGCTTTACTCGCGCCCTTGGCCCATGCAACCCACGCACGCATGCATGCACCCCCACTTTACTCGCCCCCTAGCACCGTGCAACCCACGCATGTAAGCAACTCCGCTTTACTCACCCCCTTATCCCATGCAACCCATGCACACACGCATGCAAAGCAACCCCGCTGTACACACCCCCTCGGCCTATGCAATCCACACACGCATGCCCGCACCCCTGCTTTACTTGCCCCGCTCTTTGCCCCATGCAACCCACACACGCATGCAAGCCACCCCGCTTTACTGGTAGGGCCGCCATGTGAGCGTGTTCATTTTAAGGCGTCTTGAATGCACGTGTGCAGCAAGCAACACGGGTGGCATGCTGGGCGATACGATGTGGGCCTGACATTTCCACAGCCCTACTAACGAATGCAGTTCAGCCCGATTTGCAGATAGATAATAAAGGACTAGCAAAGCTGGTAATAGTAAGGCGCGATAATCTAAAGTTGGCAAACAAGGCCCTCCGAAAAAAGGACATCCTACGTCCGTTTTTAGTACGACAATTGTCACTACTTGCCTTTTTACTCCAGCGACAGTGTCGGGTTGCCGCGAAAACAAAACGGTACGCACTCATATATCTGCCAGGGCTTAAGTACAGACGATTGAAAGGCAAAACGGACCCGAGCATACTGCGATGCCAAAGCAACTTTCGACAACCACTAACCCACGTCCGAACCAAGCTATTCTGCATAGCATTTATGATGTCTGAACTTATGATGTATTAATTGAGCTGTTAGCAGGACGATAACGTTGTCTTAGGTTGACTGATGTACGTATCGCGAAAGGCCACAACACGTTATCAAAATGAAGCATTTGAACTTGCCATGTGGCGCCTGAGCCATGTAGGAGACCCTCGCTAAAGAGCACCGCAGGCGAGTGCGACTACATCCCGACTTCAAGCAAGGAGTCGACTCGACTTGCACACGGATACAACGAAGTATAACCAGCCATGTAGACACCCTGACATCCTGACGCTAACAGAAGCCGGTTGGCCATCTAAGGTGGAACTCGTAAGATGCTATGATAGTAAATCGAAGCAAAGTAAACGGGGAAGCCAGCTTGAAGTAGTGCATAACTATTTCTTTGTCTATGAATAGCGGTACCTTCGCTTACTGCAAAAGAAGAGAGTGAAGCCGAGTAGTAGGAGGTACGGCATGTGAGCGAGGGCGAGTGGAAGGCCACCGCATGTTTGATGGCGCGTGCGTGGAGCGTAGCTTGATAGAGGGTGAGTCGGACAAAGGTGGCAAGCGACAGGGCGATTGGGTGGGGCGCTGTGCGCAATATAGAGAGCAAGTTGGAGGCATATACGGGAAGGCAGCATGGGGAAACAACACCCCCCCAAACCCCACCACAGCCCACAACCCAAGTTGCGACGGCCCCCCCCTGGCACGCCCCGCCATGTCCGTCCGTGTGTCCGTCCGTGTGTCCGTAACGGCAAAACATACAAACTAGACAAAACTATTTATTGCACCTAATAGATATTTGTTATCTGTATTCAGTAAAAATAACTGGAAGCCAAACAAACTTAATTTCGCAACAAACGATTTATTGACCAGCCATTCAAAAGGACCACCGCGGCAACACCGATTAGCGCTCCTCTATGGTTTGTCCTGGTACCGTAAACAGTATTTAATGAATTGGAAACAGCGGCGTGTCGCCAAAGGGCTACCTGTGAAAGTCGGCGAGAGCATGCTTGCGTGCATCGACTGTGCTACGCTGAGCCCACCTCCTTTGAGACGATGTTGCCGGCCTTTGTTATTCGTTTCTGCGCCATAATGCCTATGAACTGTAACGCAAACAGGTACCTCGCCTAGAAGATAACAGCGATGTTCCGGTGCAATTGCCGAAGTCCTTCTGAGCACCATGCCGACATTGCCAAGCCTGACCTCCTCATCATGTTAGTAATGTAGGCGAAACCTAAACGACCTGGGGGACCCTGAAAAGACCGAAGCGATCTCATGGCCTGCCCAAATGGGTGTGTAGCATGGGGGGGTGACGGTGTGGTGGAGTGGTTAGGTGCGTTTTCGCGGCTGTTTATGATGGCGGTGTGTGGGAGTCATGCTTGGGCTGACGAGGCTGCTTAGGAGAGTGACGAGCAGGTTTGGGAGAACGCTTCTCTGCACGCCTTCTCAGCAGCTTCGACACACGAGTGCGTGCTGGTGGTCGGGAGCCCAAGGCCGTCGGAATCCACATCTGGCTCGTTCTCGGTGCCGGGTTCGTCTTCATCTGAAAGGGCATGGCGCGAACCCACAACTCTGTCATCTATGTATCTCAAGCAGCAAGTGTTCACTAAGGCTTATCCAACGTTTGTGCGCTTATATGAAGGCCGGAGCTATAGAACCTTTGTCAATGCCCCACAACTAGCAAATATTGGCAAACAACCAATAACCTACCAATGTCACCAACCTCCACACCGCTATTGTTGCTGACGTTTCCATTATCCTCTGATGAACATAGAAGACGCTGAGTTTTCGCCAACTGCCCAAGTCGGTAGTGCACTTGACTGTACGTGGCAGCACTTCCATTCAACTCCTTTACTACAGCGCCCGCTGTTACTTTTCTGTTGGTGGATTGTAGCGTGAGCACTGCTTCCTGAAACGCTGATTCTTCGTCCGGAGTCCACTTTGAACGCTTCTTCGAAGGCTGAGTGGTAGCGTTGGGCTTAGGCCGGATATACTTTTGCCCGGCTTTGTTGTATTGCAAAAAGCTGAGAACACGTTTATACGTCAAGCCCTTCAAGCGCGTGTCGGAGCACACTTCATCATACAATAGCTTGGCAGTAAGTTTCAGTCCGCTAGAAGCAATAGTCTCGGCTGCTTTACACAGAGCCTCAACTTCATATGTTTTCCTGCATTCCCTGGCCATTGTGTGTATTGAGTAATGAAGGCAATACCAAAGCCATTTGTGTCGGCCCTATTAAACTACGCTGCTGGCCTTACCGCGACAACAACCTAACGGATACCAACGTGTAGCAAGCTATCAACATGCGCTAGAGGCCTCTTCTTTTGTAACTTGCTTTGTACTTTGTACGACACAGGCCACCATCACGCAAGCCAGTTAGCCCGTCACCGCTCCCATTACGGTTCCCCTGGAGCCACGCGCCAAACCGCCAGCCTCCCAGCACCGCTTCAGGACTTGTAGACTTGTATTCCCTTTATTGAAGGCTAAAGGAACTCGGATCACGCTTGACGTCCAACGCGAAATGGCTGACCGTTGGCGCATGATGACAAGCCCTTATGGAAGCGCACAATCCTTGTAAATTAAAGCTACTATCCTTTATGGTTTATCACATGCAATTCATTCGGCTGCAAAGGACGTCCATTAGCCCAGGTCCGCATTTCCTTGGCGATGAATGCGTAGTCGCGAGCTCGCGACTAGAACAAAGAGCACACCGTGGTCGCAGCAGTAAGACATGGACTGATGTATAGTTATGCTGGTGTGGTAGTGGGACCATAATGCGACGAGCTAATGCTTTAAAGGGGTTCAGCCAGACACATGCCGCCAATGACACTTACATTTAAGCTTACCAGACACACACCGGCCGTTAAACCGGCGGCAAACGCAAAACACGCTCAAAGCGGCCTAACCCAGAAGCACGAGACGTGCTCTATTAGGAAGAGCGGTAGACAAACAACAAAGTCCCATGCAACAGGGCACACGCACACAGGAACACAACCAGGACAGGCAAAGCCCACATGATATTATCTCCGTCCTGTCAAACTGACCTGCTATCCCACGCCCCCATTCTCCACCACACGTAGGTCTTACGCATCCTTGGCCCGAAGCCTATTGACCCCTGTAGGTATCATTACACACGACTGCATCATTCTTCCCCTCCTGCCCCAAACCCCCATACCCTTGTCGTTCTCACATACGCCGGCTATCCCCCCCCTCACTACTCGATAATCTCCACATCGCTGTCCTCCAGTACCACGTTAATGGCCGGTGACGAAGCCGCCCTCGCCATCGATGCCACCCTCGCCGCCGGAACCATTGGAGGTGCCCTCGCCGCCGCCGCCGCCCTTGACACCACCGCAGCCCCCGCCATCGTCGCCGGCGTCGCCGGCGCCGCCGGCGCCCCCGCGCCGCTCCCGCGACCACCGCGCATGCCCGCGCGGCGGCCAGCCGTACCGCCACGGGGAGGTCGCGGCGGCAGCGGGTGGGCGGGCGGGGCCCCAGACGGACCCCGCTGGGCAGCAATGGCGACGTCGCTGTCGGAGTCCCCCTCACCCGCGCCACCGCCCGTGTTACCGCCCGTGCCACCGCCCGTGCCACCGCCACCGCCAGGCTCCTCATCGCGCGGGCGCTTGATGTCAGCCGGGGCACTGTTGCTGCGGCTGATGATGGGCTCGGGGGGCGAATGCACGTTGTGGTACACCCGGAGGAGCATTGTCAGGAACATGTGCTCGTTGCACTGGTATGTGCACCACTCGTGCCCACGGTAGCGCTGTACAGGAAAGAGGAACATGCAAGGTTGATAGCTAAACAAGCGTTTCCCAATGACGTGAATCGACACACTTGCCTTCGTCAGGTCGGCGACGGAGCGCGGCCAGTCCACGGGCGGAATCTGGGCGCAGAAGATGAGCCAGTTGTCGACGCGCCACTCTCCACCTCCCCGTAACACCTTGCGCGGCGGTGTCACCTGGCTGCCTCCACATGGACTACAGAGCGCCGTTCGCCAGTCCCCCTGTCCACAACTGACACCTTGGGCTTTTGTGTGCCCATGTAGCCAGCAGGGACGACGCCAACCTCGCCTGTATACCTGCCACTTGTCCCTAGAACTGCCTGGTCGCCAGTGTCCTTGCCCGACAACAGAGATCGCCGCTGGTCATACTTGCCCCCAAGGGGACAAACCTGTACGTTGCCCGCCTTGACGTGCAGCTGTCGGTTGCTGTCTGGGTACTGAATGGCGACTCGGCTGTGGCTGGGTGAGTATGAGAGGAAGTCCGCTAGCTTGTTGTTGTGCGTATTAATGACCGTTTTCCCAGCCCGCAGACCTGGCGACTGCATGCATGACGCTAGCGTAGACTCCTCCTCCGCCTGCGCATGTACATCCTCCCGCGCCGGCGCCTGTACAGGACCCAGAGCATTGGGTGCGTCGCCGGTGCCCTGGAACACGGGAGGCAAAGGAAGAGAACGATGAATGTACTGGCCATGCCGTGTCGCCCTGACTGTGCTACAGGTACTGTTTTATCCGATACGATTGCTTTAAGATGTAGTACCCCTGCCGTAACACCCACCTGTAGATAGGAATCTGGTAGTCTACCAAACAGACGACCCGTCGCGCGACCACCGAGCATGGCATGGCCCTCTTCCGATTCAGCGTCGTCCGCATCCTCATTGTCTGCTTGCTCTAGCACAACCTCGTCCTCGTGCTCCTCATCGTCAGACGAAGACGGCAGTATATCCACTCCGTAATCTCCAGACATGGAGCTGAGAGTGTCTTCGTCGTCGTCCATCTTGCCCTAACAGCAATACACGAGTGCAATGACGAACGATCTGTTGTATCCTATTCTATATTGACAGTGTATTCTTCCTGCTAGCGTTAAAGCTTGGTAAGAGCCTTAGTGTTTAGGGTTGGTGAGGATCACGCGAGAAGGCGTTTATAGGATGTCGTCTGTAGGTAGCAATACGATAAGAGTGAAGCAAATCATAAAGGATAGTAGCTTTAATTTACAAGGATTGTGCGCTTCCATAAGGGCTTGTCATCATGCGCCAACGGTCAGCCATTTCGCGTTGGACGTCAAGCGTGATCCGAGTTCCTTTAGCCTTCAATAAAGGGAATACAATTCTACAAGTCCTGAAGCGGTGCTGGGAGGCTGGCGGTTTGGCGCGTGGCTCCAGGGGAACCGTAATGGGAGCGGTGACGGGCCAGCGGGCTTGCCAACATCACTGCTCACCCATATACATATTATTATTTTAACATTACAATACAACCAACACCTGTGCCATGATTATGTGACGAACGCTGCAGCCAGAAACTCCTCTCAACTCATAACAATCGTTCTTGACTTGGAGCCACATCGCAGGTTGTCTTTGTGACTTGCATGTACACATTCAAATTTCAAACCTATTGCACGAAAAAGATGCCAAAAAGCTCACGCAAAAACATCTACAATTTGCCGGGGTGTTCACTAAGGCTGTTCCCTTGCTTCCAAGCCGCGGCCTAGCGGAGCGCCTGGAATCAAGGGCAGGCCAAAAAGCACTCCCATGTGGCAGATACGCCGTCGATTTGGGTTCTGTAGCCTAATGCGTGGGTGTTATCAAGCATGATAAGACGTTACTGAGTACTCGATTGAACAGGTGTAACCTAACAATGAGTGCAATGAGTGAGGACACTACGTACGCCATGGCGGCCGGCCTCGGCTGGACAAGGGGCTCTAAGCTCGTCTAGCCATGCAACGAACACTCTAACTACAGTAAACAAGGGGGTTCAGCGTCCGTATAACAAGGTGTGTTAAGTCAACTGGTGCCGTGGAGTCATAGGAGCGCATGCCGTGCCATTCCAGGTCTATAAGGCCCTGAGTCGTTCGGACTCCCCTGTACTAATCGCATTCATTCCAGTGGTAATAATACGTTCCTGTACTCAATAGGAGGGGCTCCGCCCTTTTCCAGCTTTGAGGAAGCTGAACCCCCTTGTTTCCCCCCTCTCTGCATGCGTACAATGTGTAATTGCGTTATCACCTCCAAACAGCGTTCTAGACACGCATGCACTTGTCCCTACTTCGAGCCTTGTCTCTGAGCTTGCAAGAGTCCACGACTTCAGGGGCGCGTCCGCGTGATCCTATCCTTCGCTTTTGCAAATTTAGTGTTTCCACAGCTGCTTTCATCTCTACGGTGCAGCGCTGTCGGCTCCATTCCGGGTGTGCAGCTCGCAACACCATCCATGCCGGAACAGCTCCATGTTCGTTTGCCGTTCTAACAAGTTCTTCTTTGCTGGTGCTTTCGTCTTGCATGACATTAACTTTTGGTAACTTCTGACTGTCGTTAGTGTCAATCCTCGACAGGTTATGAATGCCTACGTGAATATTATGTTATGTTTATGTTAAGTAGTATACCATCAACTACGATTGGTAACAACAGGCAATACAGGACGTAAAAGAATGGATACTGCGTCGCCGTACACTGTCTTCGAATTTGTGCTGTGGCAGCAATGTATCTTAACTTAACCTTAACCTTCACCGTTTCCTATGAAAAAGCAGCGTATCGGCGCCCGCAGGCATCGCAGAAGGTGAAATTCCGCGTTTGGGGACAACGTAAAGCTTTTTTACATTGTTTGCATAGGAAAATTTATGCAATTTCCGAATTGGTCATCCTTTTGCATCCTCTCTGTGCTTTTCGAGTGTACCGTTGGCGCCCTCGGTTGCCTCGGTTGTCGGGTAATCTACTGGAACGCTGTTCAACGTAGCGGCTTAAAAAGGAAGCTATTTTTAGCGGTTCTCTGTTGGCCAAGCCGTACGGCGGTCCGGACAGAGAACAGGGGCACAGCGCCGTGCGAGCACTTTTTGGCCTGCCCTTGATTCAAGGCGCTCCGCTAGGCCGCGGCTTGGAAGCAAGGGAACAGCCTTAGTGAACACCCCGGCAAATTTAACATGTTTTCGCGTGAGCTTTTTGGCATCTTTTTCGTGCAAAAGGTTTGAAATTTGAATGTGTATATGCAAGTCACAAAGACAACCTGCGCTGTGGCTCCAAGTCAAGAACGGTTGTTATGAGTTGAGAGGAGTTTCTAGCTGCAGCGTTCGTCACATAATCATGGCACAGGTGTTTGTTGTATTGTGATGTTAAATAATGATGTGTATATGGGTAAGCAGTGATGTTGGCCTGTGTCGTACAAAGTACAAAACAAGTTACAAATATATATGCCATACATGCTTAAATAGCATCCGTAGGGATCGCTGCCCGCGATTCGCTGTAGACAATGGCACCGGTGTTGGCCTGCCGCTCAACGATGTAAACGCCTCCCTCATGTGTCCCTACTACGCTGCCAACCAACCCTCCCAAACGGGACGCCCATGTGACACTCTCCTAACCAGCCACGTCAGCCCCCCTCGTCAGCCGCCCTCGTAAACGGCCGCAAACACACACCCAACCACCCCACCGCACCGTCAGCCCTCCATGCCAGCTACACAACAATTTGGGCAGGCCATGAGATCGCTTCGGTCTGGTTGCAATACAACAAAGCCGGGCAAAAGTATATCCGGCCTCGGCCCAACGCTACCACTCAGCCTTCGAAGAAGCGTTCAAAGTGGACTCCGGACGAGGAAGCAGCGTTTCAGGAAGCAGTGCTCACGCTACAATCCACGAACAGAAAAGTAACAGCGGGCGCTGTCGTAAAGGAGTTGAATGGAAGTGCTGCCACGTACAATCAAGTGCACTACCGACTTCGGCAGTTGGCGAAAACTCAGCGTCTTCTATGTTCATCAGAGGATAATGGAAACGTCAGCAACAATAGCGGTGTGGAGGATGGTGACATTGGTGGGTTATTGGTTGTTTGCCAATATTTGCTAGTTGTGGGGCATTGACAAAGGTTCTATAGCTCCGGCCTTCATTTAAGCGCACAAACGTTGGATAAGCCTTGGTGCACACTTGCTGCTTGAGATACATAGATGACGGAGTTTTGGGTTCGCGCCATGCCCTTTCAGATGAAGACGAACCCGGCACCGAGAACGAGGCAGATGTGGATTCCATAACCATGACCGTCCCACCCGCGCGCCGCCCTCATGCAACCAGCCACACAACTATCACCCACCACCCCACACGTCCACTTGGGCAGGCCATGAGATCGCTTCGGTCTGGTTTCGACTCATTCACGCACCCTCACTCAAAACTTAGCCCTTGGCCCGTTATCCTTTTGTTAGGCAAGTTATGGTGTATTGTTCAGCTGTATTGTACAGCAACGACACGGGCTCTTGCAGCAAATCGTGGTTTGGTGTAAAGCAAATGTAAGGGCACCTAGTATATGGCAGTCGATGGTGACGATAGCTGTATGAGGGGGCTTCACCATTGGGTTCGTCATGATGGCTGTGGTTAGGGAAGGGGCCTTATTTTTCACCCTCCCCGTGCTTCTAGTACACCCGACAACGCGTCACGTAATTGTGCTGCCACTTACGGTTAGGGGAGGGGCTGGCCTGCACGGCCTCTCACGCACAGCGCGGATTGGGCGGGGGGGAGGGAGGTGGATGACTAAAGATGATGAGGCGCCTCCTGATCTGGTCACATGATCGCCATTCATCATACTTCTAGCTCAATATTCGTTGGTGGGCTATGTTTTTCCGCATTGCATTCATTCCAGTGGTAACAATACGTTCCTGTACTGATGAGGAGGGGCTCCGCCCTTTTCCAGCGTTGAGGAAGCTGAACCCCCTTGTTATGGGAAAGGGTTTGCGAGAGGGCAGGTGGGTAGCGGATGGGGAATAAACAACATACCAACCCATAGGAAATTTCAGTAAGGGCAAAGCAAAGGGAATGGGAGGCGGTAGAGTGTCACAAACACAAAACGTTAAAAAAAGGACAGCCGCAGCAGGCTACAGTTCATCGACCGTTACTATGTGCCGCACACCTAGCACTGCCTTCTCTTGCTTTAGCCCAGTATGGATTGCTAAGAAATGAACAGGTACCGTTTAGGGATCTGGTAAGCAGATGTTGGGAAAGAGGTCAGGGGCCTGAGGCTACAGTTGGTTAGTTGTATAACCGCTTTGCACTTGTGGCATCGCCTATTTTCCTACGCACAATTAGATTATGTTCTTCACCGCCGTTTTCTTCATGTGTTATTTGCCGCTGCGGCCCGTTCACAACACAGCGGCGTCTCCCACAATTGCGGTCCCTCCGTATTCCTCCGTCCAATCTGCAGTTAGTACGGTCTCTCCGTCTTCCTGCATCCTTCCGCGCTGCGGTTTCGCCCTGAACATCGATGATCAGCTTCCGTGCCTATTGCACCCGCACATTCCATGTCAGGCGCCTTGGCCGTGTTAAAAGTTTACGAGCTCTGACGTACACTAACGCGAGCTAGCGTGGTCCCTCCGTCTTCCAGCGTCCTTCGGCGCAGCGATTTTGTGCTGGTTTGGCAGCCTCTCTGTGTTGTTTCTCTGGGACCTAATTGCCTGTCCCTGTATCTGTTGGGCACGGTTCCCTGCCTTGTGCACGGCGTGCCCCCTGGGGTAGGGCGGTCAACGCCCTGTTAGAATGTACGTCTGACGATGGTCTCAGCTACTGTCCTCCAGTGTAACTTCCGCTTCCTAAGGACCTCCTTCATATATGAATGGCCCCTAAGTTTCAGATAGTGGAATTGTAAGTGGTGTTGTTTGAGCAGCCGCTGAAGCAAATTTAGTTCGCTCAGCAGGGTCCGTCACCAAGGGCAAAGTGCCTAGCTCCTCACTGTCATGGTCCCCATCTTCGCTAGGCTAGCAGCTTTCATCACTGTCAACCGCATACCTAAGCTGGGGCTCAGGTTGCCTTAGTTTAGGTCATCGTCATAGTCAACTTAGCCCTTGGCCCGTTACTCTTTTCTTAGGCAAGTTAAGGTGTATTGTTCCGCTGTATTGTACAGCAAGGATACGGGCTCTTTCAGCAAATCATGGTTCGGTGCAAAGCAAACGTACGGGCACATAGTACATGGCAGTCGATAGTGACGATAGGAAATAACGGGCTAAAGAAGGGCGCTTGCGCATGCCTTGCCAGCTATGCTAGCACACGGCATGGGGAGCAAGTAAAGGCTAGCTGGGGAATATGCACTCCTATGAAGGGTACCGGTTTGGGGTAAGGGGGCCCTTGTGGCTTGCACGGGCTGGAGCACAGCGGTGGGGGGTGTTAAATCGAGGAATCTCACGAGCTGTATGAGGGGGCTTTACCACTGGGTTCCTCATGATGGCTGTGGTTAGGGAAGGGGCCTCATTTTTCACCCTCCCCGTGCTTCTAGTACACCCGACAACGCGTCACGTAATTGTGCTGCCACCTACGGTTAGGGGAGGGGCTGGCCTGCACGGCCTCTCACGCACAGCGCGGATTGGGCGGGGGGGAGGGAGGTGGGTGACTAAAGATTATGAGGCGCCTCCTGGTCTGGTCACATGAACGCCATTCATCATACTTCTAGCTCAATATTCGTTGGTGGGCTATTTTTTCCGCTATTTTGTTTTATGGGAAAGGGTTTGCGAGAGGGCAGGCGTGTAGCGGATGGGGAATAAATAATAAGTGCAGCAACGAGTCCCAAACTCCCAATCCCATATCCCGACTCATGCGGTGAGCGCATTCGGAGACTCTATAGGGGGGTGTAAAAAGAAAAAAAGAGCTGTGTGATGTGGCTTCATAGGTTGCTACGGGGGGGCGGAGGGGGGTGGGGGACACCGGACGGCTATGGTCATTGGTGAGCCGGAGGTGAGGCACCTGGATGGGTAACATGAACGCCAAGGAAGGGTACCGGGTTTGAGGGTACAGGGGTCCTCATCATGGCTGTGGCAGGGGAAGGGGCCTCACTTTCCTTTCACCCTCCCGTGCTTCTTGTATACCCTAGAACGCGTCACATAATCGTGCTGCCACCTAGCGTTAGGGGGTGGGGGGCTGGCCTGCACGGCCTCTCACGCACAGCGCGGATTGGGCGGGGGAGAGTAAAAATAAGGAAAACTGACGGATTGGGCGGGGGCGGGGGGATGGGTATGGTGGACGTTGGATGGCTATGGTTATTGGTGAGTCGGAGGATGATTTGGCGCCTCCTGGTCTGGTCTCATGGACGGCCCCACCGCACTTCGAGGTCAATATTCATTGGTGGGCTAGGGGGCCGGGGGAGGGGGAGGGGGGTGGGGGACACTGGATGGCTATGGTTATTGGTGAGCCGGAGGATGGTGAGGCACCTGGACGGGTGAAATATTTCATTTCCGTTTTCACAATAATTACTACTCTGGGGAGGGTTTGGGGGGTGCAGGCGGGTAGCGGGTGGGATTTAAGGATATCCCAAATCATATGAAGTTTTAGTAAGAACAACGCAAGGGGATATGTGGTGGCTGGATGCAGTATAATTAGTGAGGGTTAGCGTTAGGGGGAGTGAGGGGCTAAGTTGGGGGGAGGGAGGGGGCCCGTGCGCCCCCTCAGCCTGAGACTACAATTAGGTTAATTTCGCCCTTACTAGCTCACCGGCTAGCGGGGGGACTTGCACTACTAGGAGGGGTACCGGTTTGGGGGCATGGGGGTCCTCATGATGGCTGTGGTAAGGGAAGGGCCTCATTTTTCACCTTCCCCGTGCTTCTAGTACACCCGAAAACGCATCAAGTCATCGTGCTGCCACCTACGGTTAGGGGCTAGGGGAGGGGCTGGCCTGCAGTTCATCGACCGTTACTATGTGCCGCACACCTAGCACTGCCTTCTCTTGCTTTAGCCCAGTATGGATTGCTAAGAAGTGAACAGGTACCGTTTAGGGATCTGGGTAGCAGATGTTGGGAGGGCGGTCAGGGGCCTGAGGCTACAGTTGGTTGTATAACCGCTTTGCACTTGTCGCATCGCCTCGCTCTTTTCCTACGCAAAAGTATATTTATGTTCTTCATCGTTTTCTTCATGCGTTTTTTGTTGCTGCGGCCCGTTTACAACACAGCGGCGTCTCACACAATTGCGGTCCCTCCGTATTCCCGTTAGTAGGAATAGCGTCAATGATCATAATGCCTCTGGTTGGACTACTTCTGGCCTAGGGGCCTAGTTTGGCTTCGCCTCGGTCTGCGGCCATGTGTGTTTGGTGTTGGTGACACTTGGTCTGACACTTAGTCATCGGCACCCTCCTCTGTGAGGGATGTCCCCCTTCGGACATGTTTCCTTCAGTCCATTCGTGGGCTCTGTGGCTCTCTGTACTAGGTACTTCGGCTGTCCGTGCTTGGTGTCGGTGGTATGCGGCCTTTCTGTCGGGCCTGGTGTGCCCCCTGGGGTAGGGCGGTCAACGCTCTGTTGGAATGTACGTCTAACGATTGGCCAGTACGGCCTCCTTACTGGTTGGTCCTCCAGTGTCATCCTCGCTTCCTAAATAGGCTGCTCATAAGAGCGCCGCGAACCGCGAAAAGCTTGTAGGATTGTCAAATGAATAGGTGCATGTGGTCGTGTATTTATCGGGGATCTATAGCGTTGCGAATTGGTTTGGGTCTGTGAACTACTTTGCGAGCCGTCTGGGTGAATATTTTACTCTATTGCAAGTATTTCGGTTTCAGCTTCGATTCTCTACTTCCATTCACATTGAGGCTGAAATAGGTGAGGCTGTAACCGAAAGTGAATACAATATTCAATTCCGCCTCATTCACATTGAGGCCAATATGCTGGCGGCAATTTAGTATTCGCCTCACGTTCTCTACTTTCAGAAGTAGAGAATCGAAGCTGAAACCGAAATACTTGCAATAGAGTAAAATATTCACCCCGATGGCTCGCAAAGTAGTTCACAGACCCAAACCAATTCGCAACGCTATAGATCCCCGATAAATACACGACCAAATGCACCTATTTACTTGATAATCCTACAAGCTTTTCGCGGTTCGCGGCGCTCTTATGAGTGGCCTTTCTGATGTGGCGATGACCTAAACTAAGGCGACCTGAGCCCCAGCTTAGGTATGCGGTTAACATTAATGAAAGCTACCAGCCTAGCGAAGATGGGGACCATGACAGTGAGGAGCTAGGCACTTTGCCCTTGGTGGCGGACCCTGCTGAGCGAACTAAATTTGCTTCAGCGGCTGCTCAAACAACACCACTTACAATTCTACTATCTCAAACTTAGGCTCGTGCTCGCAACCCGTCAACTTTCTGGCAAGTCGGTAAAAGCCTCACTTTCTTTGCAAAGTTCCCAATGTGAACGAAATCTGAGGCCGAAACGGGTTTGCGCCTCATGCGGCTTCACTGAATATAATACTCAAAATCCTAATGTGAACGTGAGGCGAATACTAAATTGCCGCCAGCATATTGGCCTCAATGTGAATGAGACGGAATTGAATATTGTATTCACTTTCGGTTACAGCCTCACCTATTTCAGCCTCAATGTGAATGGCCCCTAGCTCAACATCAAGCGCACACAGAGCATTACCAGCACAAAAGTACATGCGACATGCGTCTTTTGCTTGGGAAACGCGCTGACAGACTTGGAAGCGGATTTTTCAAGTGGGCGAGCCTGAATTGAGCGGCCATTCACCTGGCAACTAATAAGGCCCAGTCAATAGTTTCACTGCATCTAAAAGAGGAGGGAAGAAGCTGGAAGGAGGGAAGAAGCAAGACTGTTGCCGTACGCCTAGGTCGCTCCGGAGTCCGAACCTGGGGGCAGCGGCACCCATGCTGACAGCTTAATTGTTGTGCTTTTCACTAGGTGCTTGGTTTCCTGGCTAGTGTTATGGGCCTAAAGGTTTGGATTCAACTCGTTACACAAGCCCGCCGATCTTTACGTTGGGTGGGTGCAAGCTCTACCCTAGTATATAGAATATAGTTATCAAGGTATTTTATGGGATTATTATGTCACGTGAAAGCTGATCACTACTCATAAAGTGCGTTGCTGTGCCGCCGGGGCCGCCGCTGTCTCGGCTGTTGACTCTGCACAGAATAGACGTCCTGGGGCACCACTATCCATGATCATGCTTGCATGTCGTTTGCAGTCCCTTTCTTGATTTGCCTGGCTGTTCCAGGGGGTCAGCTATGTCTCGCAGTTTAAGCCCTTTTTCACCTTATGGTTGCGCGACCGCCTTACTTCGTAGGAAACTTGACTATGTCAGAAGAGACTCGTCCATCCGAAAGGCCACGCCTGCAGCTCAAGCCGAGAGACCCGACCGCTGCTCAAGCTTATGAGTTGCAGCGTGCCCGCTCAGGCAGCAACCCTTTTGGTAAGGTGTTTGTTAGTGGTAAATAATCTACGCACTTTTCCTCAGACCACGGCTAATCCGGTTCAGGCTTTCCAGTGAATGACCTGCCATCACACTCGTCACAGGCGCTGCTAAGCCCCGAGAGCAGGTCATCGCCGAGCGCCTCGGCAAGACTGAGGAGGAGGTTCTTAAGGAGACCTTTAAGAAGGAGCGGCCAAAGCTTCGTCTAAACGCTGAGCAGTTGGAGCAGCGGAAGCAGGCAGAGGTGAAGCAATCTGCTTGGACCTAGGCCACTTACGCCGCACATGCTGCTTCCTCGATACCCAATGGAGTCCTCGTAAGACTCCGGCCACTGTCCTATAAGTCCCATGCTGCCCCTTCACTTACAACCCTGCCAGGCTCGCATCGATGAGGCCCGCAGCCGGCTGGTTGTGGTGGAGGAGGCGGGGCGCCGGGAACTAGAGGTCGAACTTCAAACTGCTGAGGTGAGGCATAGTTGTGATTATAGGACTGACTGGAACGGGATCCAGTCAGGGGGGAGAAGAACCGCGTGTTGAATGGAGCCAGTGAGTGCGGGGAGGGCGGGTGGTAGGCACCGCAAGCTACGGAAGAGCCCGTACGCGTTCTTGTTCCTACTCTGGCCTTTGACTTTTGCTCTCGCTGCTCCTGCTACCCTGAGGCCAGTCTGAGTTGGAGGCGCTCTTGGACTGCTTTGAGGCCCTGGCGCTAGAGGCAGCACAACGTGGGGAGGTGCAGCGACCCAGCGAGCGCCGCCAGCAGCAGGGGCAGGGGCAGCCGGGGTACAGCGGGGGCTCAGAGGGCGGTCGCGTCGGCTGTGGTCGCAGGGACTTCGGACCTGGCGGCGAGCGGCAGCCTCAGGAGAGCGCCTACGACAGGGAACGCGGCCCCAGTAGATACGACCGCCAGCAGCAGCCGCGGGCGTTTTATGAGAGGGTGGAGGGTGGCGACGCTGCTGGCGGACGTGGAGGATACGACAGGGCCGAGCCCCGGGAGTACGACAGGCACCGCGGTGGTTACGACCGGGCAGAGGGCGGCGGCCGCGGAGGGTATGCAGGGGACCGAGGTAAGATTTCCGATGGCATGGGCAGACCCCTACTTATCACCTCGAGCTCTTGGTACGCTTTCTTATGTGACGCTGTCTTCTCCTCCATGCTAGATCACAGGCACTGATTCTGGGTCCTCTGCATGTTATTTAGGTTGCGGTTCTGGTGGCGAGCGTGGCATGTACGAGCGGGTGCCTCGTGAGCCGCGGGAGCCCCGCAAGGGTGGCTACGAACGCTTCGAGAGGGGCTACGAGCGCGAGGGGCGCGGGGTTGACCGAACCGGCGAGGAGTATAAGAGCGGCGCTCGGGGTAGGTGGGGAGCCGCAACGCTGAGCTGGGGGAGGGGTTGAAAGATACCGTGCCCGGCCAGGTAGGGGGTTGGGGATTCATGAGGTTCGAACAAAGGCATGAAGCGGTACTACTGAATATGATTGCCCGGCATTCGCTTGTTGGCTATGAAGCCCTAAGCTGATGCCGCTCTTAAAAAAGACCCGAACTTCTTTAAGCCCAGCGCAGTCTTCACCTAAGCTCGGCTGTCATGCATGGTTACCTGACAGGTGGACGTGGTGGCGGCGACTGGGGTGCCGGCTACTCCCGCGGCAGCGGACACGACCGATACGAGCGCCGGGGTGGCAGTGGCGGGGCTGGTGGATACGAGCAGAGCGGTCAGGTCTACCCCGGTGGCTATGGCGGCGACATGCCACGCGGCGGTGGCCATGCTGTAGGCGTGGATGATTCGCTGCGGGGTGGGTACGGCAGCAGTCGTGGCAGTCGCAGCGGTGGTCGCAGCTTCAGTGGGCCCACACTCGAGGAGCTCACTAGCTCTGACTACGTGAGCCCCTACACTCTTAACCAGGACCGGTTTTGAAAGGAACAGCTGGTGGTGGTATAGGAGAAGGACTACAGATTGGGAGACTACCGGGTACAGTGAACTTCCATTAAGGATGTTGTTCATGTACAAGGTTTGGAGAAAAAGGTTGTCTTGGGGGGCAGGGGGGTAGTTTCCCTGCAAAATGACCCTATTCCAAATCCGGAAGTCCCCCCCCCCCCGAGGTGTTATCAGGAATTGGAATCCAGTATTCGGCTGCTAAACGCGCGCCAGTGAGGGAAAGAAAACCACCCTTTGCCTATGTGGTGTATCCGGAATTCGTTGGTGCTGTGGCGCAGCTATCCCAGGCCCCAGCGGCTACAAATGCAATTGCTGCTCTTTGGACGGTTCGCCTCGGTTGCAAAAATGGACACTGCCCGCCCCCCCGCCCTTACACTGGACATAAGCATATTGAGGATCGCCGGCTGTGCGACGTCTGCTTGCACTTTGGCAAATGGGTCCCGACCATGGTCGCCAACACTGCACCCCCCAAGCAAACAGTATCTTCAAGAGAGTATGTCTAAAGAGAAGGATATGAGAGCTGCTGTACTGCAGCTGATTCTGTGACCCATGAATATAGTCGTCACGAGTTTCAGTGCATAGTAAACTCCACTTGTACGCTGCAATGCGTCTATCTCACAACTTATTCAACACAGATGTAACAGTCGGCATACATGTGGGCAAGGAAATCATGCACAGTTACAAAACGAAGCAAGTGGGTTGTTCGTTAGTGTCTGGGAAAAGCATTGCCATTGCGGCCTTCCCTACTGCGCGCCCGACCTCAGAAGCTCGTCCAAATCACGTGCTACCGAACACCGGCAATCTTCTTGAAACATACTCCTTTAAGCCGTGTTTTCTCTTAATGCGTTATTATCCTGATCATTAATAGGCTAAGCGGTTTACCGGTGTCACCTGCATTTGTTCAGGGCTCCAACCGAAGAAGCTTCTTAATACCTTTAGCAGGAGAGCGGAACTATAGTTCTGTACCTCATGCCCTCCCTTGCCCGAGATACCCGGGGGTAAATAAAACTCATCAATTACCGGTAGTGCTTCCTACCCTAGCTAGTCTAGCAGCCTTGGCGGCAATCGCTGCCATTCCTTTTGTGCTTTAAGCATCCTTGTCACGCCATAGCATGTGCACCATCATACTTTGTGATGCCAGCGGTTTTTGGCTTGTTAGTTGGGTGGATTTGGTCAGTTAAGATGCGGTTTTGTTTTGGATCTTTTTGCGGGACTGGTTCTACACAGTTCTGTCGTATTGTTGTACCTTTGGCGGTAGATAAGAGTGCCGACAACGCGTGTTGCGTTGTCTCCGTTGATCTCTAGGGTATGACTTGAGACCAACACAGCAGACCCGTCCCAATGGGACGTTAAACTCAATGGGTCGTGCCTTGTAACGGTGATCCTGCTAGCCTGACATCTAAGCGTGCCTTTAGTCCAGAGCACGGCACGTACATTAGGATAGGTAGCAGCTGTATCGGCAGCGACCTCTAGAGTTAGGCGCGCCATCGCCCGTGTCAGCTGGGAAGATCAGTGCCCGTTCCCGTGCCATCGACAATTGCCTTTTTCGCCTACCAGTCGACGTCTACTACGCCAACACGTATGCTTTGCGTCCTTTTTGTGTGTTTATCCATTCGTTCAAAGTCAACCATACGCACATGTTTTGTTCCATGTCACACGTTAGGGCGTGACATCCTTCTGCATCCTCACGCCCTACATGCATGCGTGCAACCGCATCTTCACGACATCACCTCCCTCCCGCGAGCTACGGGCAGCTCCCGCCGAAGGCGGGCCTTACTAATTATTGGGCATTCCCCTTGCGCAAGACGGCCTTGAGTCTAGGTTTCCCGATAATGCTTGTCCCGTGGGACCCTCGACCAAACTTCAAGCATTTTCACAGCGAAGTTAGGCCAGACGGATACCTATGCTGTATGTGTGCGATTGATGCGAACCGGGCAACAGGCGGGTAGGCTTTAAGCAAAGTAGCCCGCATGATGCTGTCGCGTGCGCGGCCGGCAACTAAAGAAGGATGCGAACTTGGACATTCATGTTAGTGCTTTCTTTAATCTATCGCGAGCTGAGAAGCTAGCGTCTCTTCTGATAACAGGGCCCGGCAAATAAAATTGACCCTCGCCATGTTCCCTGCCTTCGCGACAAAGCCAAGCAACGACATATCGCCTCTTTAGCGACAAACATTATAACTAGATGCATCCTTACTAGCCATCCATGGCCATACGCGGTACGTAGGAAGGGCTATGCCGGTGCAGTGTAGTGTGGTATACCTTACTGCGTGGTATCCGAATTAGTATGGTATGTCACATAGTATGGGACAAAGCAAGTTGTATGTGACTGGACATGGTGCAGGGTACGAGCGGTAACTGGAGCGCGGCTGCGAAACTGTTTTAACAAATTGACCTCCGTGCAAAACCCCTGCGAAACTATGCAATAACTGCGAAACCTCTAAATTGAAGCGTATTTTCAGGGGAATGCGTTGCGATTGGTTCAAAGCATCGTTCTGTGGGTAGGGCCACCACGCAATCACACTGACAGGCTCGCGCTGGCTCAAAGGAGGCGCTCAAGGGAGCGCGCAGCAGGTGGAGGCCCCCAATATGCCTTCCTATTAGGGTGTCCTTAAGTGATGTTTGCGTCATGGGGTAAGGGGACGGGATTGGAGAAGTGTAGTTGAAGTGGGACAGGTGGGGTATAGTGGGGTGGGGTTCGATGGAGTTAGATGGGATGGCAGCCCCAGCCCTGTTACCCACGCATCCAACCCTCGAAGGCAGCATTTCAAAGGCAGCACAATTGTCATGCAATGTTGTGTGCCATTGCCAAGCCCTGGCGCGGTATGGAGCTCTTTGTTGACTAGGTCAACGCGACATGCAGTGGTAATGGCACGGGAACACCACTGATTTGACGCAACAAAGATAATGTCTGATGCTCAGAGGGCGCATATTGTACATCCTAGAGTCCTGCAAGGCTCAATACCGCACGCTCGTCAGAAAGGAGCTTCATGTACAGCAAGCGTCGAAACTGCAAAAACTAGTTTCGGCATTTTGGCAAGACAGCTCCGGGTTGCAATAACTAGTTAAAACAGTTTCGCGGAGTTTATGTTTCGCGGAGTTTCGGTTACCGGGGAGTCGGTCAACGCCCCAATGTCTCATATAATCACAGAATAGCAGTGGGCCCTTGATTCTCAAGTTTAGTACTTGATATCTAGCTTGGCCGTGTCCTGTCTAATCCATCCCTTGACTTGATCAATCTAGGCTCGGCCTGATCAACCTCGCAGTCCAGCTTGTCAAGGTCTACTACTTGAGGACACCTATCAAGCCATAACCTTGCTACCCACCCAACAACAATCTAGCATCTAGTCAAGTCAAGCGGTCAAGTTGTGGTGCACATTCCTACCCAACCAACAACCATCTAGCATCTAGTCAAGTCAAGCCTTAAAGTTGTGTGCATATTCCCACCCACCCAGCAACCGCTTGGCATCTAGTCAAGTCAAGCCATCAAGTTGTCGTGCGTATTCCCACCCACCCAGCAACCGCTTAGCATCTAGTCAAGTCAAGCCGTCAAGTTGTCGTCAACTGTAAGACGTTCAGGTTGCCGTGAGGTTAACAATGGCAGGGGGTTTTAGGGTTGCAACACTCCCTGTGAGACGTTCAGGTTGCCGTGAGGTCGACAATAGGGCAGGGGGTTTTAGGGTTGCAAACTCCCTGTGAAACGTTCAGGTTGCCGTGAGGTCGACAATTGGGCAGGGGGTTTTAGGGTTGCAAACTCCCTGTGAGACGTAGAGGCTTGAGAATTTGACTTGGTTGACAGGATTGACGCCGCGTCCCACACCTACCCCGGGACAGGCGGCTTGAGAATTTGACTTGGTTGACAGGATTGATGCCGCGTCCCACACCTACCCCGGGACAGGCGGCTTGAGAATTTGACTTGGTTGATAGGACTGACGCCGCGCCCCACACCTACCCCGGGACAGGCGGCTTGAGAATTTGACTTGGTTGACAGGATTAACGCCGCGTCCCACACCTACCCCGGGACAGGCGGCTTGAGAATTTGACTTGGTTGATAGGATTGACGCCGCGCCCCACCCCTCCCATGGGGTCGGAGGCTTGAGAATTCGACTTGGTTGACAGGATTGACGCCGCATCCCACCCCTCCCATGGGGTCGGAGGCTTGAGAATTTGACTTGGTTGACAGGATTGACGCCGCATCCCACCCCTCCCATGGGGTCGGAGGCTTGAGAATTTGACTTGGTTGACAGGATTGACGCCGCATCCCACCCCTACCCAGGGCTGGAATGCTTGACAATTTGACTTGGTTGACAGGATTGACGCCGCATCCCACCCCTCCCATGGGGATAGGCGGCTTGAGAATTTGACTTGATTCATCGGTCTAATGGTGCTTCATAGAATACGGCTTGATGGCGCGAAGTATATAGCTAGATTATATAAGTCGAATATAGTTTCTTTATTATCAAGCGTCTACTGCTATTTTGTCACTGGCGGGGGCAGACTCCGCTTCAGGCGGCTTCACTTTCCACCCTGGAGTCTTCCAACCTGCCCTGCCAACCAGCACCGCTCCCAGACTTGTGAAGTTATATCACCTTTAAGAAACTTAATAGGAATCCGTTTTTGCCATTACGTCCAACAAGAAGACCAGACCGTTAGGGCCTTTTATGCCATGCCACTAGCTCTGTTGTTGCCTAATTTTTCGGACTCCCTAATTCCGGCCAGATCGCCAAACCTGCCGTAACCTCCCTTATCCCATGGCTTCAGACCAAGTTGTCTTAGGACAAAACATTCATATCTAAGTATAGTAGAAGTCTAGGCCGCTATTTGCTGGAAAAGACGCGGGTAGACGGACAACCAACGTAAAAGTTGCCATCGGGGCCATAAACAATTTCGGCCAGTTGGCCACTTAGCGCGTATACACTCATTTCGCTCATATGAATAACAGCAATCGACCTTGGTTCATCAATGTAAGCACGTTGGATGGCGGTTCTGCTGAGGCGCTTTCAGGGGCTTGTTCGGAGAACCGCATGCAGATGCATGGGGGGTTCCAAGGTCAAGCTTTAAGGACCATTGTAGGAAAGCTGAGGTCAGCAGCATAACTCCACAGCAGTGCCTCCAAATTGCTGACTACCTGAGCGCCGAGCGGCTAGACTAGGCGATTAATGTCGTCGGTCGGTGAACTTAGCCGGACCTTCTGCAATGGCCCGTATGACACCATGGACCCCTGGTTTACATCTTAATGATGTTATGTATGTAATACGCGGTTGCGAATTTGCTTAACAGCGGTGCAAAGGTTGCAAACCGGTGCTGGCCGAAATCAGGCTAGGCCAACTTTTGCGGTGAATTTTCTTATCGCCCCTGCTGGCTTTGTTGCTTTGTTTGACATCTGCCGGCTTTGAAACTCCAGACTGTATATATAAAAGACTTCAAAACGCGCGATAAACGCCTCGGTAAGGCCCGGTCGGCAATCTAGGGCTGGAAAATCGCGGCCGGCCGAAATATCGAACAATCAGAGCTAGTAAGGCCCGCCTTCGGCGGGAGCTACCCGTAGCTCGCGGGAGAGAGCTGACTACGAGTAGGAACGGCAGGTGATGTCGAGAAGGAAGAGCGGTTGCACGCATGTACGGCGTGGGGAGGCAGAAGGATGCTCCAATGCTTCACAGGAGGAGTGGCAGTGATTGTCGCCGAGGCTGCTAGGAATTAAACGGTTCGGAAGCACGAACGGCTTGATGACGCCGCGGAAACATGCAGTATATCAATGCATACAGGTGGTGGAGTGCGAAAACCTGTGCGTTAGTATAGAGTACTGACCCTACTAAGTACGGGCGCACTTGTACCGTCAACCCCGTCCGAGACAGGACACCGTCTCCGCCTTGTGCGTGTATACTTCCACACGTCCTGCCCGAAGCCCGGCGCTCTCATGCAGTCCCCGCACTGGCCCATTAACGAGCATGCACGTCCCAAGCCCCACGCGCCCGGTGCGTATGCGCGCAGAAATCCT